GCGGTGGCTCAAACCTGTAATCCCGGCACTTTGGGAGGCCAAGACGGGCGGATCACAAGGTCAGGAGATCAAGACCATCCTGGCTAACACGGTGAAACCCCGTCTCTACTAAAAAATACAAAAAAACTAGCTGGGCGAGGTGGCGGGCACCTGTAGTCCCAGCTACTCGGGAGGCTGAGGCAGGAGAATGGCGTGAACCCGGGAGGCAGAGCTTGCAGTGAGCTGAGATCTGGCCACTGCACTCCAGCCCGGGCGACAGAGCGAGACTCCGTCTCAAAAAAAAAAAAAAATCACAAAAGAGAGAAGGCCAGGCGTGGTGGCTCAAGTCTGTAATCCCAGTGCTTTGGGAGGCTGAGGCAGGAGGATTGCTTGAGCCCAGGAGTCTGAGGCTGCAGTGCATTATAATCATATCATCTCACTCCAGCCTAGGTGACAGAGCAAGACCCTGTGTCCCAAACAAACAAAAAAAATTAAAATTAAAAAAAAGAGAGAATTGGCCAGGCATGGTGGCTCATGCCACCATGATTCTAGCACTTTGAGAGGCCAAGGCGGGTGGATTGCTTGAGCTCAAGAGTTCGGGACCAGCCTGGGCAACATAGGGAGACTCCCGTCTCTATAAAAAGAAAAAAATCAGCTGGGCATGGTGGCACACGCCAGTAGTCCCAGCTACTTGGGAGGCTGAGGCAGGAGGATCACTTGAGTCCAGGAGTTCAAGGCTGCAGTGAGCTATGATCCTGCCACTGCACTCCAGCCTGGGCACCAGCACAAGACCCTGTCTATTATAAATATATATATATATATATACACACACACACACACATTCCTTACCTCTTTATCAAGTCTCACAAGGTCCCACATGATCCACATAATCCCCCTCTCCCCTCCTCCTCACTCGCCCTGCTCCAGCCACAGCAGCCTCCTTGACATCCTCAACTTGCTCTGCTTTCTCCTACCAAGTGGACTTTGCTCATGCTGTTCCCTCTGCCTGGAATGCTCTTCCCTTCACTTCCTCTCTTCCTTGCTCTTTACTTAACATATCTCTCCAGTTCAGAACTCAGTGGCTCACACCTATGATCCCAGCACTTTGGGAGGCCACAGTGGGCAGATCACTTGAGGTCAGGAGTTAGAGACTAGCCTGGGCAGTATAATGAACCCTGTCTCTACCAAAAATACAAAAATATTAGCTAGGCGTGGTGGCACATGCCTGAAGTCCCAGCTACTCCAGAGGCTGAGGCAGAAGGATCGCTTGAGCCTTGGAGACGGAGGTTGCAGTGATTGTACCACTGCGTTCCAGCCTTGGTGACACAGCAAAAATCCATCTCAAAAAAAAAAAAAAAAAGAAAAAGAAAATGAAAAAATGAGGTGGCTCATGCCTGTAATCCCAGCACTTTGGGAGGCCAAGGCAGGTGGATCACGAGGTCAGGAGATCGAGACCATCCTGGCCAACATGGTGAAATCCCGTTTCTACTAAAAATACAAAAATTAGCTGTGCATGGTGGTGCACGCCTGTAGTCCCAGCTACTCGGGAGGCTGAAGCAGGAGAATCACTTGAACCTGGGAGGCAGAGGTTGCAGTGAGCCAAGATTGCACCACTGCACTCCAGCCTGGCGACAGAGCAAGAAAGAAAGAAAGAGCTCAACTCACACCTCCCTTTCTCCCTGTCACCCCTGGTGTTCACCCTCACAGAGCCCTGCCCTTCGTCTTCCATCTCCCAGTGAGCAGGGATAGTCCACAGGCACAGGGCACACATGTGACTGTGCCCTAACAACTACCACTGTGCCTGCCTCATGGAAGGTGCTCAGGAAACATGTGGAATGGAAGAAAGGAAATGGGACTCAACAAAGCCTTCCTGGGTCTGCAAGGATTTCACAGAATAGAGGCCTAACTTGCAGCATGGGGACCAGAAACACCCAATGATCCATTCCAGGGGATAATGACCAGCCCATTCTTTGTTTTTTTGAGACAGAGTCTCAGAAAACAGAGTCTCAGAGTCTCAGTTCTGTCGCCAAGGCTAGAGTGCAGTGGCGTGATCTCGGCTCACTGCAGCCTCCACCGCCTTGGTTCCAGCAGTTCTCGTGCCTCAGCCTCCCAGAATAGCTGGGATTATAGGCATGAATCACCACGCCCAGGTAATTTTTGTATTTTTGGTAGAGATGGGGTTTTGCCATGTTGGCTAGGCTGGTCTCGAACTCCTGATCTCAAGTGATCTGCCTGCCTCAGCCTCCCAAAATGCTGGTATTATAGGCATGAGCCACCGCGCCTAGCCTGTCTAGCCTTTTTTTTGAGACAGAGTCTCGCTCTGTCACCTAGGCTGGAGTGCAGTGGCCCGATCTCGGCTCACTGCAAGCTCTGCCTCCTGGGTTCACGCCATTCTCCTGCCTCAGCCTCCCGAGTAGCTGGGACTACAGGCGCCTGCCACCATGCCCGGCTAATTTTTTGTATTTTTAGTAGAGACAGGGTTTCACTGTGTTAGCCAAGATGGTCTCGATCTCCTGACCTCGTGATCCACCGGCCTCCCAAAGTGCTGGGATTACAGGCTTGAGCCACTGTGCCCGGCCTGACCAGCCTATTCTTATAGGAAGCTATAGGAAGATTCCGACCACAAGACACGCACTGGTCTTCAGGATCTCCAAAGTTCCAAATCCCTTAGGACCAAAGCTTTTATTGGGTTTGATAAACACATGTTGGAATTAATAAACAAGCAGTGCACCCACCCTTTTGTAATTTAAACTACAACTCCCAAGAGCACCATGAAGTCAGACTACCCCAGCTAGCCAACATCAACTGCTACTGGGAACTAGCAACATGGTGTTACTGGGAAATGTAGTTTTGTTTGTTTGTTTGTTTGTTTTCAGATTCCTTCTTGGGTAGAGAGAATCTTTAAAAAACAGAGGTTTATTTGGGGCGTGAAGCACATTTTCCACACCTCAGAGTCAGGGACTTCCAGTTTTTCACCAAGTCAAACCCCTGCTGCTGGGAGGAATGGCGGGCAAAAGACAAGCTACAACCGTAGGGCCAGTTAAGTCACTGGAACATCCACCCTATGGGCACGGGGTCTGCAGGAATTGTAGTACCACTGCAAACACCTGGCTGGACAGCAGGGCTGGGCCACTTACGGGACTCTCAGTCGCAGGGGCCTCCTCCTTGTTGGGCACCCCTCGCTCCAGGGGGACAGCCAGCACAGCGCGAAGCAGGACCAGCAGCAGCAACGGTAACAGAAGGAGGGTTCCTCGGGGCCCAGAGGGAGGCATGGCGGTGTGGTCTGTGGGGGACGGAGGGCTGGATAATGCATAATGTCTGTCCTAAGCCTCTTCCTCCCCTGGAACCAGGAGTTCGGGCCTCCAGTGCCGCCCCTACTTCCAAGACTCAGGACACAAGCATTTCGTTACCCAGGCCCCAGGATTCCAGGCCTCCAGCCTTCCCTTCCTCCGACACAGGAGTCCGGGCCCTCAGACCCAGGAGTCCTGGCTCCCAACACGCTCCTCCCTCACACTGAGGAATCCAGGATCTCCTCCTCCCCCAGACCCTAGAGTTCAGGGTGCCAGCCTCCTCTTTTCCCAGGACCTAAAGTACTGGCACCCAGTGCATCCCCCTCCGGGACCCAGTTTTCCAGCCCTGTGGCCCCCATCCCTCCCTAGGACCCAAGAGTCTTGGAACCCTGGCCTCTCACCTCTCCTTCACCGCAGAGGGCGTTTTCCAGGGCTGGCAAGGACCTCCGGTGCGTTCTTGGTGATTTCCCCCCTAGGCCACGCCCACTTTCCACAGAGGCCCCGCCCCAAAGAGGCCTGATTGGTCCACGCTGGCTCCGTACCTTTCATCCACGTCTAGCGGCCCCGCCCCTTGCCGAAGTCGCTCGCATTTTCGTGAAAACCTCGCTTCTGTCTCGGAATCCCAGCCTCTTAACGCCACATTTCCCGCCTATGCCAAAAGAAAGAGAAAGCTTTCAAAGACAACTACAACTCCCTGCCGGCCGGGGGAAAAATAACTTCCGCGGGCATCGTGGCCCCTTCGCCTCATGGGAGCTGTAGTTTTGCCCATTTATTTTCGCCCCGCGAAGTGCCTGCAATTTACAGCACGGTAGAAATTGCATAGCCTTCCTTATGAGTTTCTTTCTTCTTATTTTTTGAGACAGGGTTTGCTCTGTCACCCAGTTTGGAGTGCAGTGCCGCAATCACTTCTCACTGCAGCCTCTACCTCCTAGGCCCAAGCAATCCTCCCGCGTCAGCCTCCCAAATAGTTGGGACGACAGGCCCAGTTAATATATATTTTTTTAATTTTTAATAAAAATATTTAAATATTTAATTCTTTTTCAGCCTTTTCTTTTTTTTCTTTTTTTCTTTTTTCTTTTTTTTTTTTTTTAACATTCTGTCTTTCACACTTCTCACAGTCAGGCCGGGCTTGGGGGCTCATGCCTGTAATCCCAGCACTTTGGGAGGCCGAGGCGGGCAGATCACCTGAGGTCGAGGGCTTGAGACCAGCCTGACCAATGTGGAGAAACCCCGTCTCCACTAACAATACAAAAATTAGCCAGGCGTGGTGGCACATGCCTGTAATCCCAGCTATTCAGGAGGCTGAGGCAGGACAATCGCTTGAACCCGAGAGGCGGAGGTTGCAGTGAGCCGAGATCGCGCCACTGCACTCTAGCCTGGGCGACAGAGTGAGACTCCGTCTCAAAAAAGAAAAGAAAAAAAGAGACGATGTCTCTGTACTGCTGGTCTGGATCTGGATCTCCTGGGCTCAAGCAATCTTCCCGCCCCGTCTCCGCCTCCCAAAGTGCTGGGATGAGGCTGCAGAAGCTGGAACAGCAGCGTGAGCCACTGCGCCCTGGCTCTTGTTAAGTTTCTTGTAAGCGAGATGTGTACAGTGAGGCCGCGAAGTCTCTGGTCTCTTTAAGGAACACCCACACGTCATTCGTGTTCAGAACCCCCGGAGCAGCGTTGCCTGGCTGCATCAGTGACCGAGCTCATTACTTTGTTGGAAGTGGAAAGTGGAAGGTCAGAAGGGAGTGGACCAGGTCAGGTCCCAGGGGAAATCCTCCCTCCCTCTGAACCGTCTTTCTTCTCCCTTCTTCGCAGATATCCCGAGATTAGGTCCCTAGCTTCCAAACAGAGGATCAGGTATGTTTAGAGATTGGCCAGAGAGGCAAGGTACCGAGGCATCAATGTGAGCAGCCTCTGCAGGCACCTGATGGGGAGAAGGAGTCTCCCGGATCCCAAGCAGGTGGGCAGTGGAGTTCTAGGCCACTGGGGGCTGGGTGTTTGAGGTACACAGTCCTGAGTGCTGATGCCTGGGTGCTGGAGAATTAGATATTTTGGGGAGAGAGAAGCGGACTTGCGGACACCTGTGGGAAGCTGGAAACAGGCTACTGGATCCCGACAGGAGTGGGTGCTGGGATTCGGGCTGCCTGGGTCCAGGAGCAAATTTAAAGGTAAGGATCAGGCTGGGCACAGTAGCTCATGCCTGTAATCCCAGCACTTTGGCAGGCCAAGGTGGGCAGATCATCTGAGGTCAGCAGTCCGACACCAGCCTGGCCAACATAGTGAAACCCGGTCTCTACTAAAATAAAAAAAAAATTAGGCATAATAGCGCACACCTGTAGTCCCAGCTACTCGGGAGGCTGAGGCAGGAGAATCGCTTGAACCCAGGAGGTGGAGGTTGCAGTGGCCGAGATGGTGCCACTGCACTGTAGCCTGGGTGTCAGAGCGAGGCTCGGCTGTCTCAAAATAAATAAATAAATAAATAAATAAATAAATAAATAAATAAATAAAGCAAGCAAGCTAAGGATTAGGTTTTGGTGGGCAGGATCCATTGGGATGTTGGTTCGGATCCTGACTCCTCATTCTTGCTTCTGCAGAATGTCTCAGGATGATGACACATTGAGAAGAGAGTGAGTAGGGGAACAGATGGGTAGGGGTAGAGGTGGAAGGGGCTGGGGACCTCATGCACTCAGCTCTGGCCTCATAACCATGTTTGCAGGTTCAGCACCATCAGCCTTGCAGGAAGGGGCTGGGGACCTGGACTCCTGTGTCCTAAAGGGAGGGGGCTAGGGTGCAGACTTCTGGGTCTGAAAGAGAAGGGGTTGGGGGCCCCAGACTCCTGAGTCCTGAGACAGGAAGGACCTGGGATCTCTGGGTCCTGGCTTCTGAGGGTCAGTGCCAGGACAAAGGGCCCCATAACTGGTAGAACAGGCTCAGGTTCTGCACCTTTTGTGACCTCACAGGTGCCCAGAACTCAAGTTGGGATAGGGGCAGGATGGGGGAGAGGGAGGGGCTCTTGGGCAACCGAGGTTCCCTGCAAACTGTCACTGTGAGCCTGCGTCTCTCTCAGCATCCTGGAGCATGAGCTTGCTGCTATGAGGCTGCAGAAGCTGGAACAGCAGGTATTGTGCCCAGGAATCTCACCACTCCAACTCTTCCGCCTTCTGTGCCTCCCCAGGGGCCTCTCCACCAGATCTTGCTCTAGGACTCCCCGCTCGTGTTGGCTCTCTCTCATCCTTGAGTTTTCCCATTGAGAAATGAGAAAATAGGAATTTGGGGCCGGGCGCGGCAGCTCACAACTGTAATCACAGCACTTTGGGATGCTGAGGCGGGCAGATCACTTGAGGTCAGGAGTTTAAGACCAGCCTGGCCAACATGGTGAAACCCGTCTCTACTAAAACAAAAAAAGTAGCTGGGTGTGGTGACAGGTGCCTGTAATCCCAGCTACTCGGTAGGCTGAGGCAGGAGAATTGTTTGAACCCGGGAGGCGGAGGCTGCAGTGAGTGGAGATCGTGGTGCTGTACTCCAGCCTGGGCGATGAGCTAGACTCTGTCTCAAAAAGAAAAAGAAAAAGAAAAGAAAATAGGAATTGGGGGTCCTAAATAAGCAAAAAACCCTTGTGATGAATTTCTAAGGAACAAGGCTTCTAGAAGGCAGGACTCCTGGGTCCTGGGGGAGGAGAGGACAGGGTGTCAGGACTCTTGGATCTGAGTTCAAGGGTGGAGTGAGGGAGGAGCAGCTGAAGCACTGAGGGCCTGGACATCTGGGCCCCAGTGGAGAAAGGGGTTCACAAACTCTCGAGCCCTTGCCCCGGCCCCATCTCGCTTCTGTCTTCACATCTGGTTCCTGCCCCCGACACCCACCTCTCCCATTTCCCCAGCGGCGGCTGTTTGAAAAGAAGCAGCGACAGAAGCGCCAGGAGCTCTTCATGGTTCAGGCCAATCCTGACGCTTCCCTGTGGCTTTGGCGCTCGTGTCTGCGGGAGGAGCGCCTTTTAGGTGACAGAGGTGACCAAAGGCCCCTGGGGCTCCTCCTGGGGGCGTTCGCCTGGTGGGGAGGGGCCTGTGGGAGTCCGTGGGCGGAGCCTAGTGGAAGAAGGGGTGGAGCCTTAGGGTGCGGACTTGAAAGTGGATGGGGGCTGGCCTTGGCCCAGGAGAGCTTTAGAACAGCGCCCAGGGTAGAGGCTTATTGGGGCCCCCCCGCGGCAGGACCTGTGAGGGAGGGGTTCGGGGCGGGGCTACAGAGCGCAGGGGCGGTGCATGGTACAACTGGCAAGGGAAAGGGGTAAGAGAATGTGATGATTGGGCTTGGCAGAGCTCGGGGGTGGATCCTGGGAAAGCCGGGACCCCCACCCCAACCCCGGGATTGCGGAGACGGGGTCTAGGGGTCCGGGGCGTGGCGTGGTCTCATTATTAGAGCCTGGCGCGAGATTGTTTACGTGCGGAGCCCGCAACAATCCAGCGGCAGGGCTGTGCTTGTTTGAGCCTTAGGATGCAGTTTGGGACCTGGGTGAGTCTCAAAGTTTGGGTAGTCCGCGAAACGGGGGTGATTTTTTTTTTCTTTTTTGAGACGGAGTTTAGCTCTTGTTGCCAAGGCTGGAGTGCAATGGCGCAATCTCGGCTCACCGTAACCTCCGCCTCCCGGGTTCAAGCGATTCTCCTGCCTCAGCCTCCCTAGTAGCTGGGACTACAAGCATGCGCCACCGTGCCCGGCTAATTTTGTATTTTTAGTGGAGAAGGTGTTTCTCCATGTTGGTCAGGCTGGTCTGGGACTCCCGACCTCAGGTGATCCGCCTGCCTCGGCCTCCCAAAGAGCTGGGATTACAGGCGTGAGTCACGGCACCCGGCGGGGGTGATATTTGGGAGCCCAGTGACGGAGTGTTGTTTGGTTGAGGACCGGAATTTGTAGACCCTTTTCATGGGCTCGCTGCACCTTCTCCCAGGCCTTAGGAACCCTTTCCTCCGGAAGAAAGTGTCAGAGGCACATCTGCCCTCTGGCATCCACAGTGCCCTGGGCACCGTGAGCTGTGGTGGAGACGGCAGGGGCGAGCACGGCCTCCTGACACCCCGGACAGAAGCAGGTATTTGCGAGTCCTTGGACCTCCTAGACCCCAGAACTCCGCCCCTACTGGAACCCAGGAGTCTGGGGCCTCAATCCATCTGTCCAAAATACTCAGGAGCTCAGGACTGCACCCACTCCTTCCTCACACCAAGGAGTTCAGGTCCTGAGCCGCCTCGTCCTGCAGCATCCAGAAATCCAACTCTCCCCTCCTTCCTTACTCAGTGTTCAGGAATCTCGGTCTCCAGTCCCCTTTCTCATCCTGGCTCCCAGACAATTCCGACCCAGAATTGGAGGAAGTCTCCGTGGAGAATGGTTCGGTCTCTCCCCCACCTTTTAAACAGTCTCCGAGAATCCGACGCAAGGGTTGGCAAGCCCGCCAACGACCTGGTAATTTAGGGGACATTGGGATGAAACCTGGGATCCCCTGGTTCATGCAGCAAATCTTCCCCTTTCTTAGGTAGCAGCTTCATTGAGGTATAATTCACATACCATACAAGTCACCCATTTAAAGTTTACAATTCCATGGTTTCCAGTATACGGTTGCCCCTCGGTATCTGCAGGGGATGTGTTCCCGGAACCCCAAAGATACCAAGATCCGCAGATGCTCGAGTCCCTTGCATAAAATGGTGTAAAATTTGCATATAAAGTATGAACATCCCTCCATATACTGTAAGTCATCTCTAGATAACTTATAATACCTAATACAGTATAAATACAATGTAAATTGTTGTTGTTGTTGTTGTTGGGAGGGAGTCTCACTCTGTTGCCCAGGCTGGAGTACAATGGTGCAATTTCAGCTCACTGCAACCTCCACCTCCTGGGTTCAAGCGCTTCTCCTGCCTCAGCCTCCTGAGTAGCTGGGACTATAGGTGTGCACCACCAAGCCTGGCTAATTGTTGTATTTTTAGTAAAGACGGGGTTTCATCATGTTGGCCAGACTGGTCTTAAACTCCTGACCTTATGATCCGCCCACTTCAGCCTCCCAAAGTGCTGGGATTACAGGCATAAGCCATCATGCCTGGCCCGTAAATAGCTGTTATACTTTATTTTTAAAAATTTTGGGTGGGGTGCAGTGGCTCACGCCTGTAATTCCAGCACTTTGGGAGGCTGAAGGTGGTTGGTCACTTGAGTCCAGGAGTTTGAGACCAGCCTGGCCAACATGATGAAATCACGTCTCTACTAAAAATACAAAAGTTAGCCAGGCAAGGCAGTGCAGGCTTGTAATCCCAGCTACTTGGGAGACTGAGGCAGAAGTGTCGCTTGAATCCAGGAGGCCCAGGTTGCAGTGAGCCAAGATCACGCCACTGCACTCCAGTCTGGGTGACAGACCAATACTCTGTCTCAAAGAAAAAAAAAATTGGTTCTGTTATTTATTGTTGTCTTGTTGTTTTTAAATTTTTTTCCTGAATATTTTGGGTCAGCAGTGGGGATGCGGAGCCTGTAGGATACAGGGGGTTAACTGTATTTACATAATTCTGCAACCATCACCACAATCAATTTTAGAACATTTGTACCACCCCAGATAGAAATCCTGCATAATGGCTGGGCGTGGTGGCTCACACCTGTAATCCCAGCACTTTGGGAGGCCAAGGTGGGTGGATCACCTGAGGCCAGGAGTTCAAGACCAGTCTGGCCAACATAGTGAAACCCAGTCTCTACTAAAAATACAAAAATTAGCTGGGTGTGGTGGCAGGCACCTGTAATCCTGAGGTGGGAGAATTGCTTGAACCCAGGAGCCAGAGGTTGCAGTGAGCTGAGATCAGGCATTCCAGCCAGGGTGACAGAGCGAGACTTTGTCTCAAGAAAAAAAAAAAAAAAGAAAGAAAGAAAGAAATAGTGCATCAATTAGCAGTCACCTCTTTTCCATTTACCCCAGCCCTTGGCAACCACCAATCTCCATTGTCTTCTTAGATTTGGCTATTCTGTACATTTCACACAAATGGAATCATACACTATGTGGTCTTTTGTATGTGGCTTCTTTCTTCAATTCTTTTTTTTTTTTCTTGAGATAGAGTCTTGCTGTGTCTCCCAGGCTGGAGTACAAATATGCGATCTCGGTACGCTGCAACCTCCGCCTTCTGCGTTCAAGTGATTCTGCTGCCTCAGCCTCCCGAGTAGCTGGGGCTATAGGCACGTGCCACCACGCCCGGCTAATTTTTTGTGTTTTTTAGTAGAGATGGGGTTTCACCATGTTGGCACAGCTTGTCTCAAACTCCTGAACTTGTGACCTGCCTGCCTTGGCCTCCCAAAGTGCTGGGATTACAGGCATGAGCCACTGCACCTGACCTCTTTTCCTTTGAGATGGGGTGTCACTATGTTGCCTAGGCTGGTCTTGAACTCCTGGGCTCAAGTGATCCTCCCACCTTGGCCTCCCAAAATGTTGGGACTATGGGTGTAAGTCACCATGTGTCTTCATTCACTTCATTCACCTAACAATTTTTTTTTTTTTTTTTTTTTGAGACGGGGTCTCACTCTGTCACCTAGGCTGTGTGGGGAAAAGAAAGAGAGCTAGGATTGTTACTGTGTCTATGTAGAAAAAGGAAGACATAAGAAACTCCATTTTGATCTATACTAAGAAAAGCTGTTTTGCTTTGAGATGCTGTTAATCTGTAACTCTTGTCCCAACCCTGTGCTCACAAAAACGTGTTGTATTGACTCAAGGTTTAAGGGATTTAGGGCTGTGCAGGATGTGCTTTGGTAAAAATGGTTTTGCAGGCAGTATGCTTTGTGAAAGTCATCGCCATTCTCCATTCTCTATTAACCAGAGACATAATACACTGCGGAAGGCTGCAGGGACCCCTGTCCAAGAAAGCCTGGGTATTGTCCAGGATTCCCCCCACTGAGACAGACTGAGATATGACCTCGTGGGAAGGGAAAGACCTTACAGCCCCTCAGCCCGACACCCGTAAAGGGTCAGCGCTGAGGAGGATTAGTGAAAGAGGAAGGCCTCTATGCAGTTGAGATAAGAAGGCATCTGTCTCCTGCACATCTCTGGAAATGGAGTGGCTCGGTGTAAAATCGACCATACACTCTATTCTGAGATAGGAGAAAACCACCTTATGGCTGGAGTGAGACATCATGACAGCAATACTGCTCTTTACTGCACCGAGATGTTTATGTGAAGTTAAACATAAATCCAGCCTACTTGCACATCCAGGCACAGCACCTTTCCTTAAACTTATTTATGACACAGACTCTTTTGTTCACGTTTTCCTGCTGACCTCCTCCCTACCATCACCCTATAGTCACACCGCATTCCCCTCACTGAGATAGTAAAGATAGTGATCAATAAATACTGAGGGAACTCAGAGACCAGCGCTGGTGCAGGTCCTCACTTGCTGAGCACCGGTCCCCTGGGCCCACTTTTCTTCCTCTATACTTTGTCTCTGTGTCTTCTTTTCTTAGTCTCTCATCTCCACCTTGCGAGAAATATCCACGGGTGTGGAGGGGCAGGCCCCCTTCAGGCTGGAGTGCAGTGGCACGATCTCGGCTCACTGCAACCTCTGCCTCCTGGGTTTAAGCTCTTCTCCTGTCTCAGCCTCCCTAGTAGCTGGAAGTACAGGTGCGCACCGCCTTGCCCTGCTAATTTTTGTATTTTTAGTAGAGACCAGTTTCACTATGTTGGCCAGGCTGGTTTTAAACTACTGACCTCTTGATCCTCCCACCTCAGCCTCCCAAAGTGCTGCGATTATAGGAATGAGCCACCGCTCCTGGCCCACCTAACAAAATTTTAAGATTCATCCGTGTGGTAGTGTTATCAGTACTTCATTCCTTTTTATTCCCTTATAATATTCCATTGTGGTGACATTTCCTTTTATTTTCATGAGATGGCCAATGATTTCAATGACAGAATTCTTATCACCCCAAACTCCATTCCCCCATGTTCAGTCTCTGTGATGCTTTGTCTGAGACAAGGAAAAGGGAAGACCCTAACCCCTCCCTGTCCTTAGATCCAGGGTAATCAGAAACTCTGGTCCCTGTGGACTCCCATGCACCTGGAGGAGGAGGAGGGTGTTGCAAGTGAGGGCGCTGAGTAATGAGTAGGGACTGAGAACCCAGGATTGTGGCCTTCTCTGGCTAGCACTGATGATGTTGTCCCACACTCCTGGGACCCAGTTGTCCTGAGCTTAGTCCAGGCTTCTTTCATCCTTTAGGGACCCGTGCAGAGGGTGAGAGTGAATCCCAGGATGTCGGAGATGCATACAAGGCACCCAGTATGGGACCAAACCCTGGAATGGATGGTGACTGGGTATATGAAAACTTGGCCTTCTACAAGGTGGGAAAATGCACAACGTCTCAGGATGTTGGAAGAGGAGGGCTAGCCTCGGACCTCTGGGGAGGGTGGGGCTAAAATTCTGCCGCCCAATCAGAAGCTCTTTTTCTTGGTGGTGATTAAGCTAGCAGAGACTCGTGTGTGTGTGTGTGTGTGTGTGTGTGTGTGTGTACTGTTCATCAAATCAGAGGATTTGACTTGACATGGACATGGTCATTAAAATACAGCTTATGGCATGGTGACTCACACCTGTAATCCCAGCACTTTGGGAGGCTGAGGTGGGCAGATCACTTGAGGTCAGGAGTTCGGGACCAGCCTGGCCAACGTGGTGAAACCCTGTCTCTACTAAAATACAAAAATTTGCTGGGTGTGGTGGCACAAGCCAGTCATCCCAACTACTCAGGAGGCTGAGGCAGGAGAATCACTTGAACCCTGGAGGCAGAGGTTGCAGTGAGCTGAGATTACACTCCAGCCTGGGAGACAGCATGAGACTCTGTCTAAAAAAAAAAAGGTCTTTCCATGGGACAGCGAGCTTCAGAAAGGGCAGAACACTGATCAAAAAGGGCCAATTGCGGGCCAGGAGCAGTGACTCACGCCTGTAATCCCAGCACTTTGGGAGGCCAAGGCAGGCAGATCACCTGGGGTCAGGAGTTCGAGACCAGCTTGGTCAACTTGGTGAAGCCCCGTCTCTACTAAAAATACAAAAATTAGACGGGCGTGGTGGCGCAAGCCTGTAATCCTAGCTACTCGGGAGGCTGAGGCAGGATAATTGCTTGAACATGGGAGGCAGAGGTTGCAGAGAACCAAGATCAAGCCACTGCACTCCAGCCTGGGCGACAGAGCAAAACTCTGTCTCAAAAAATAAAGGGCAAATTGGCACTCACTTTGGTTGTTGGTGAAAGTGCAGTAGATGGTTTCTCTTGGGGGCAGATGTGGGCTGTTATTATGTTATCTAGATCAAACCAATGGCCATTTTAACGGAACGGGCCGTGCTTTCAAAAAGGAATTCTCCGATCTGCAGGTGGAGTGGCTGTGGCTGCCGAGGAAAGGGAATAGACTGGCCAGTCAACAGAGGAGGGCGTGGCTGGGTGGACTGAATGAGATTTTTGACCAATAAGCAGAAAATGTGGATGGGCCGGGGCGGGACCCTAGGGCTGGGATGGCCAATCAGTAGGGAGCAAGGCTGGGGGCGTTGTCCCTCGACTTTGAATTTGGTGCCTGGCTAGGAAGAAGACTTGGAAAAGAAGAGAGAGGCCTCAGAGTCTACAGGGCCGAACTCAGCAGCAGCTAACGAAGAGTTGTTCGAGGCCCTGAAAGGCGAGGGCGGCACGGACAGCGACCATATGAGGCAGGAAGCCTCCTTGGCAATCCGCTCCCCCTGTCCTCGGCTGCAGGAGGACATGGAAGCCTATGTGCTACGGCCAGCAGTCCCGGGTACCAGGATGCAGTGCTACCTCACCCGTGACAGGCGCGGCGTGGATAAGGGCTTGTTCCCCCTCTACTACCTCTACCTGGAGACCTCCGACAGCCTGAAGGTGCAGTCAGCCGGCCCAACAGCCTTGGGAGTAAGCGCCCACTTCCGTTCCGAGGCAAAATCCCACTCCTTTCTGAGCTAGGTCAAGACCAGCCTGAGGCCGGGCGCAGTGGCTCATGCCTGTAATCCCAGCACTTTGGGAGGCTGAGGCCGGTGGATCACCTGAGGTCAGGAGTTGAAGACCAGCCTGAACAATACGGTGAAACCCCGTCTCTATTAAACATACAAAAATTAGCCGGGTGTGGTGGCACGTGCCTGTTGTCCCAGCTACTCAGGAGTCTGAGACAGGAGAATCGCTTGAACCCGGGAGACAGAGGTTGCAGTGAACCGAGATAGCATCACTGCACTCCAGCCTAGGCGACAGAGCAAGACTCCATCTCAAAAAACAAAACCAACCAACAAGCAAAAAAGACCAGCCTGGACAACATGGCAAAACCCTGTCTTTACAAAAAATACAAAAATTGGCTGGGCGTGGTGGTATGCACCTGTAGTCCAAGCTACTCGGGAGGCTGAGGTGAGAGGATTGCTTGAGCCTGGGAGTTCAAGGCTGCAGTGAGACGTGGTCACGCCACTGCACTCCAGCCTGGACGACAGAGTGAGACTCTGTGTAAAAAAAAAAAAAAAAGGACCAGACACGGTGGCTCACACTTGTAATCCTAGAACTTTGGGAGGCTGAGGTGCACAGATCACAAGGTCAGGAGTTCGAGACCAGCCTGGCCAACATGGCAACACCTCGTCTCTACTAAAAATACAAAAATTAGCCAGGCGTGGTGGTGGGTGCCTGTAATCCTAGCTACTCGGGAGGCTGAGGCAGGAGAATGCTTGAAACTGGAAGGCGGAGGTTGCAATGAGCTGAGATCGTGCCACTGCACTCCAGCATGGGCGAAAGAACGAAACTCCATCTCACACACACAAAAAAAAGGCCAAGCACAGTGGTTCACGCCTGTAATCTCAACATTTCGGAGGCCAAGGCGGGTGGATCGTTTTTGCTGACGAGTTCCAGATCAGCGTGAGCAGCATGTTGGAACCCTGTCTCTACATAAATTAAAAAAAAAAAAAAAATAGCCAGGCATGGTGATGCCCACCTGTAGTCCCAGCTACTTGGAAGGCTGAGGTGGGAAAATGGCTGGAGCCCAGGAGTTAGAGATTTCCTGTCAAAAAAAAAAAAAAAAAAAAGTCTGGACCCTCCCTCACTGAGCCTTCCTTGCTATCAGCTCTCAGGCCTCACCCAATCCTGAGATAAATCCCGCCCCCAGCAACTAGGCTCCTCCCCTCACAGATTTGTCTTTCGAGATTCAAGCCACACTTCTCTCAATCTAGTCTTTCTGGCCTTTACCCTCCAAGTATGGTCTCATTTCCTCGGGGTATCCTCTCTCCCACCAGAAAGAGGTTTTTTGCCTACTCAGAGCCAAACCCATTTTTCCCAGATGAAACGCCTACAACAGTCCTGCTGCAATATTGCAAGTGAGGGTGCTCCCCATTCTCCAAAGCCAGACCCTTCCTGGGCTAAGCTTCAACCCTGGACGCATAGGCGGAAGGAATGAGGGGGAGATATTAAGACAAGAAGCTTCCATTCAGGACCCCACTGATGGCTTCCCTCAGTGAGAACCGCATTTCCCAGTGAGTCTTGAGAAGCTCGTTGTGCCATCACCAGCTTCTCCATCATGGGACATGATGTTTCCTTGTCTTTGGACCCCTGGCTCTAACCAGCTACCAGAAGTCCATTCTTTTTTTTTTTTTTCTTTTTGGAGATGGAGTCTCGCTCTGTCGCTCTGTCGCCCAGGCTGGAGTGCAGTGGTGCAATCTCAGCTCACTGCAAGCTCCGCCTCCCGGGTTCACACCATTGTCCTGCCTCAGCCTCCCAAGTAGCTGGGGCTACAGACGCCTGCCACCACGCCCAGCTAATTTTTTGTATTTTTAGTAGACACAGGGTTTCACCGTGGTCTCGATCTCCTGACCTTGTGATCCACCCGCCTCGGCCTCCTAAAGTGCTGGGATTACAGATGTGAGCCACCGCGCCTGGCCTTTTTTTCATTATTTTTTATTTTTGTTTTGAGATGGAGTCTCGCTCTGTCGCCCAGGCTGGAGTGCAATGGCACGATCTCAGCTGACTGCAACCTCTGCCCCCTGGGTTCAAGCAATTCTCCTGCCTCAGCCTCCCTACTGGCCAGGATTACAGGCAGGCACCACCACGCCTGGCTAATTTTTTTTATTTTTGGTGGAGACGAGGTTTCACCATGTTGACCAGGCTGGTCTCGAACTCCTGACCTCAAGTCATCTGCCCACTTCAGCCTCCCAAAGTGCAGGAATTACAGGTATGAGCCACCACACCCAGCCTCCAGAAGTCCATTCTAATGGACCGTTCCTCTCATCCATAGCACTTCCTCCTGGCTGGGCGAAAGAGAAGAAGGAGCAAAACTTCTAATTACCTCATCTCCCTGGATCCCACAGATCTATCTCGGGATGGGGACAACTTCGTGGGCAAAGTCAGGTGGGCAGAGCTCTGACATGTGGTGAGGAGCAGGTAGCAGGGAGCTTGGGGACAGGCGGATTTCATTTCCCAGCAGGCCACACACAGCATACCTTCCACCTGCTCACTGCTCAGGGACTAGAAGAACTGAAGGGTTTGGAACATAGGCTGGCATTTAAGGCATTTGACTCCTTGAGAGGCAAGGGACTGGGATTCCTAACTTTGTGTGGGAAAAGAGGCCTGGAATGTGTGAATTCTTCCATCCAAAAAAGAAGAGGGAGGTTGGGCATGGTGGCTCATGCCTGTGATCCCAGCACTTTGGGAGGCCGAGGCAGAAGGATCACTTGAGGCCAGGAGCTTAGGACCAGCCTGGCCAACATGGTGAAATCTCATCTCTATCAAAATTCAAAAATTAGCCAGGCATGGTGGCATGAACCTGTAATGCCAGCTACTTGGGAGGCTGATGCAGGAGAGTCAGTTGAACCCAGGAGGCAGAGGTTTTGGTGAGCTGAGATTGAGCTACTGCACTCCAGCTTGGGCAACAGAAAAAAGAAAAAAAGAAGAGGGTTTCTAAAAGGCCATTTAAATAAAATAGGGAGGCTACATAAGTTACATGGCTCACCCAAGAAATGGGGGGCCTGGGACCATGGATGCTGGAAACATGATTGTTTCAATTATTTTATTATTATTATTATTATTGAGACAGAGTTTCACTTTTGTTGCCCAGGCTGGAGTGCAATGGCGTAATCTCGGTTCATTGCAACCCCCGCCTCCCGGGTTCAAGCAATTCTCCTGCCTCAGCCTTCCGAGTAGCTGGGATTACAGGCACGCACCACCACATCTGGCTAATTTTGTATTTTTAGTAGAGATGGGGTTTCTCCATGTCTGTCAGGCTGGTCTTGAACTCCCAACCACAGGTGATCCGTCCACCTTGGCCTCCCAAGGTGCTGGGATTACAGGTAGTGAGCCACCGCACCCGGACTCATTTATTTACTTATTTTTATTTATGTATATATTTGTTTAGAGACAGAGTTTCATTCTATCACCCAGGCTGGAGTGCAGTGGCAAGATCACACCATTGCAGCCTTGACGTCTGGGGCTCAGGTGATCCTCTCACCTCAGCCTCTTGAGAGCTGGGACCACAAGCACAAACTGCCACACCCGACTAATTTTTCTATTTTTTTGTAGAGAAGGAGTTTTGCCATTTTGCCCAGGCTCAAGCTATCCTCCTGCCTCTGCCTCCCGGAGTGCTGGGATTACAGGCGTGAGCCCCTGTGCCCAGCCAGGAACATGATTCTCAGATATTCGGACATAGTCTTAGACATAGGGGATGGATGGGAAGAGTCGATGTGATGAGTGACACTTACTCAAAGAGTAACACTTAGTATTTTTATTCTATCCATTCCCTTCCTGGAGCAGATCCAATATCTTCGGCACCAAGTTCACCATCTTTGACAATGGGGTGAATCCTGACCGGGAGCATTTAATCAAGAATACTGCCCGGATCAGACGGGAGCTGGGGGCTGTGTGTTATGTGAGTGTCCTGGGGATGACAGAATGGGGTAGGATGGTCAGAAGAAGGAACCAGGCCAACTGGAATATAATACCCCCAGGAGCCCAACATCTTAGGATACCTGGGGCCTCGAAAAATGACTGCGATTCTCCCAGGAACCAACAGCCAGAACCAAAGAATCGATGTCCAGCCACGAAATGTGAGTCTCTGACGTCAGGAATCTCTGGGTCAGTGGAGCAGAAAGGGATGGGGCCAGTCCTCCTAGATCCCAGAGGAGGAAGAAGAGGAGGAAGAGGAGGCCAGTGGGTTACAAGTGTCCTATGAAGCCTGAAGGACTGTTAGACTTCCATGTCTCAGGGAATAAAGACTAGAGACTCAAAACGTTTGCATCCAGAGAAAAAAAGGGTTGGTGGTAGGTTAACAAACTCTTACCAAAAAGGGGTCTGATCCAGACTCCAAGAGAGGGTTCTTGGATCTCAGGCAAGAAAGAATTTGTGGCCAGTCCATAGAGTCAAGTGAAAGCAAGTTTATCAGAGAAGAAACAAAAGAATGGCGGCCGGGCGCGGTGGCTCATGCCTGTAATCCCAGCACTTTGGGAGGCCGAGGCGGGCGGATCACAAGGACAGGAGATCGAGACCACGGTGAAACCCCGTCTCTACTAAAAATACAAAAAATTAGCCGTCTTGTTCTGTCACAGTCTTGTTCTGTCACCCAGGCTGGAGTGCAGTGGCAAGATCTCGGCTCACTGCAAGCTCGGCCACCTGGGTTCACGTCATTCTCCTGCTTCAGCCTCCCGAGTAGCTGGGACTACAGGCACCCGCCACCATGCCCATCTAATTTTTTATATTTTTAGTAGAGACAGGGTTTCACTGTGTTAGCCAGGATGGTCTCGATCTCCTGACCTCGTGATCCACCCGCCTTGGCCTCCCAAAGTGCTGGGATTACAGGCGTGAGCCACGGCTCCCGGCAGTAACTTCTCTTAGAAGCAAAATTTATTCAAAGATCTGTGCTAACATTCTTTTTTTTTTGAGACGGAGTCTCGCTCTGCCGCCCAGGCTGGAGTGCAGTGGCCGGATCTCAGCTCACTGCAAGCTCCGCCTCCTGGGTTCACGCCATTCTCCTGCCTCAGCCTCCCAAGTAGTTGGGACTACAGGCGCCTGCCACCGCGCCCGGCTAGTTTTTTGTATGTTTTAGTAGAAATGGGGTTTCACCGTGTTAGCCAGGATGGTCTCGATCTCCTGACCTCGTGATCCGCCCGTCTCGGCCTCCCAAAGTGCTGGGATTACAGGCTTGAGCCACCGCGCCCGGCCGCTAACATTCTTAAATATCTGTTAGCCGTAATAAAGAAATCAGTGTACTTTATGTTCTTAGCTCCCACAATTTAGCCTAAATATTTTCCCTGGCATGCTCATACTGGTCCAAGCAAGTATTAGGTCATAGCCTGTTCCTCTTCCTTATTTGAAGGTGTTTTTACCTTTCTCAGCATTCCACAAGTTACTTCCTCCTTCCTTTGTTCTCCTCCATTTTTTCCTCTTTTAAAAAGTTCTAAGTTGCTAGCCAATCGGGACAAATACAGAATGTGAGGTCCCGTTCCAGCCAATGGAAACCGGACACAGCAGTAGGGTGGATGCGTCAGGTTATAAATGACCCTGTCTCCTTTGTTCGGTGTATTCTAGCGGCAAAACTCCTGGCAAGTGTACCCTTTCTGCAGAAAGTAAAAAAATGGCCTTGCTGAGGAAATTAAGTTTATGTTCAAGTGCTATTTCTTTACGGCACCGGGGAACAAGCATTTCTAACATTGTGATACCAGTCCTGTCAAACTCCTGTCTCATCCTGTGACTAAGAATGCCTAGCCTCTTGGGAATGCAGCCCAGCAGGTCTCATCCTCATTTTACCCAGCCCCTGTTCAAGATGGAGTCACCCCTGTTCAAGATGGAGTTTCGAAAGCCTCTGAGAAAAACCACAGCCCCTTCTTTACCTTCTAGGAACAGGAGTCACTACTGAGTCGCTACCAACGTGGGGAAAAACAAGGGTTGCTTTTGCTGCACAGCAAAACCCCGTCGTGGAACAAGGAGAACGGTGTCTACACGCTCAATTTCCATGGTCGAGTCACTCGGGCTTCGGTGAAGAACTTCCAGATCGTGGATCCCAAACACCGTGAGCTCCTGGAAACCATTTTAGCCGGGCCAGGTGGGGTGGGGTTAGGGTGTGAAAGGAAGGGAACTACATCTCCCATCATCACTTGAGCATTTTTCTAGGCAGGGCAGATGCCACCCTATTGCAAAGCCTATTGGGAATTGTAGTTTACACACCCCTCAAGGTTTCTGGCTTAGTAAGGGCACCGCTCAGCCTCTTAAAAGTCTCAATTCTCGGCCTGGTGCAGTAGCTCACGCCTATAATCCTAGCATTTTGGGAGGCCAAGGCGGGTGGATCACCTGAGGTCAGGAGTTCGAGACCAGCCTGGCCAACATGGTGAAACCCTGTCTCTACTAAAAATACAAAATTAGCCAGGCATGGTGGCACATGCCTGTAATCCCAGCTACTTGGGAGGCTGAGGCAGAAGAATTGCTTGAACCTGGGAGGCAGAGGTTGCCGTGAGCCAAGATCAGGCCACTGCACTCCAGCCTGGGCGACAGAGCAAGACTCTGTCTCGAAAAAAGAAAAAAAAATAGTCTCAGTTCTCGAAGCTGGAAGATGAGAGTCTGGCTAAGGCTTCGTTCCTGATTCACTTCTCAGCGGAACATCTGGTGCTCCAGTTCGGCCGAGTGGGCCCAGACACATTCACCATGGACTTCTGCTTCCCGTTTAGCCCACTCCAGGCCTTCGGCGTCTGCTTGTCCAGTTTCAGTTGGAAGCTGGCTGTTGAATAACTCAATAAAATACCATACCCTTACCAGTTTCTGTGCCTCCTCATTTGGAGGAAGGGCCCAGACATGCCTTCTTTTGCACCACCTTAATAACCAACACTGTCCGGGCAAGCTGGCTCACGCCTGGAATCCCGGCACTTTGGCAGGCTGAAGCCGGTGGATCACTTGAAGTCAGGAGCTCGAGACCAGCCTGGCCAACATGTGAAACCCTGTCTCCACTAAAAGTACAAAAATTAGGCCGGGCGCGGTGGCTCAAGCCTGTAATCCTAGCACTTTGGGAGGCCGAGACGGGTGGATCACGAGGTCAGGAGATCGAGACCATCCTGGCTAACATGGTGAAACCCCGTCTTTACTAAAAAATACAAAAAAAAAAACTAGCCGGGCGAGGTGGCGGGTGCCTGTAGTCCCAGCTACTCGGGAGGCTGAGGCAGGAGAATGGCGTAAACCCAGGAGGCGGAGCTTGCAGTGAGCTGAGATCCGGCCACTGCACTCCAGCCTGGGCGACAGAGCGAGACTCCGTCTCAAAAAAAAAAAAAAAAAAAAAAAAAAAAAAAAAAAAAGTACAAAAATTAGCTGGGCGTGGTGGCTGACACCTGTAATCCCAGATACTTGGGAGGCTGAGGCAGGAGAAACACTTGAACCCAGGAAGCAGAGGCTGCAGTGAGCCGATAGCTCCACTTCACTCCAGTCAGACTCTGTCTCAAAAAAAAAAAAAAAAAAAAATGCCGGGCATGGTGGCTCACACCTGGAATCCCAACACTTTAGGAGGTTGAGGTGGAAGGATCACCTGAGGTCAGGAGTTCAAGACCAGCCTTGCCAATATAGCAAAACCCCATCTCTACTAAAAATACAAAAATTAGCTGGTGGTGCATGCCTGTAATCCCAGCTACTCTGGTGGCTGAGGCATGAGAATTGCTTGAACCTGGGAAGCGGAGGTTGCAGTGAGCCGAAATAGTGCCACTGCACTCTAGCCTGGGCAAGAGAATGTGACTCTATCTCAAAAAAATAAAATAAAATAAAATAAAGGCCGGGTGCGGTGGCTCACGCCTGTAATCCCAGCACTTTGAGAGGCTGAGGCGGGCGGATCACGAGGTCAGGAGATTGAGACCATCTTGGCTAACACAGTGAAACCCCCTCTCTACTAAAAATACAAAAAAAATAGCCGGGCGTGGTGGCGGGCGTGTGTAGTCTCAGCTACTCGAGAAGCTGAGGCAGGAGAATGGCGTGAACCCGGGAGGCGGAGCTTGCAGTGAGCCGAGATCACGCCACTGCACTCCAGCCTGGGCGGCAGAGCGAGACTCCGTCTCAAAAAAAAAAAAAAAAAAGGAATTTTCACACTACATCGGAAGAATCAGGAGGAACTAGCTGAGCAAGAAGGCTCAGGGTTGGGATCCTCAGGCAGCAGGTAGCACTCATACAAAGGTTTTAAATTAGGTGGAATTAGGTTTGGTTGCCTTGGGGAAATGAAAAGATTATATGGCAGGAGTGGGGATCTCAAACTCCTGACCTCGAGTTAGGGACCAGCCTGACCAACATGGTGAAACTCCGTCTCTACTAAAAATACAAAAATTAGCCGTGCGTGGTGGTGGGCCCCATAATCCCAGCTGTTCAGGAGGCTGAGGCAGGAGAATCGCTGGAACCCGGGAGGCGGAGGTTGCAGTGAGCCAAGATCGCACCATTGCACTCCAGCCTGAGAGACAGAGCAAGACTCCCTCTCAAAACAAACACCTGATCTCAAGTGATCCATCCACCTCAGCCCACCCAAAGTGCTGGGATTTCTAATTTAAATGATAATAACCCTTCCCAGAACTAAGATGCTTTTGTGAAGCTAATGAAAGGCCATTAGGTTAGGAGGATGAGAGGAACCTGCGTTCTGTGAAGGTCTAGAGGAAGAGTAATACAAAAATTAGCCCTGCGTGGTAGCTCACACCTGTAATCCCAGGTACTAGGGAGGCTGAGGCAGAACTGCTTGAACCCAGGGGATTGCAGTGAGCTGAAATCACGCCACTGCACTCCAGCCTGGATGACACAGGGAGACTTGGTCTCAAAAAATAAATAAATAAATAAGAATAAAAATTAGAGGTAGAGGTGGGCATAGTGGCTCGTGCCTGTAATCCCAGCACTTTGGGAGACCAAGGCGGGCGGATCACGGGGTCAGGAGTCTCAAACTCCTGACCACCGACATGGTGAAACTCCTTCTCTACTAAAAATACAAAAATTAGCTGGGCGTGTTGGCTCACACCTGTAATCCCAACTACTCAGAAGGCTGAGGCAGGGCCGGGCGCGGTGGCGCAAGCCTGTAATCCCAGCACTTTGGGAGGCCGAGACGGGCGGATCATGAGGTCAGGAGATCGAGACCATCCTGGCTAACACGGTGAAACCCCGTCTCTACTAAAAAATACAAAAAAAACTAGCTGGGCGAGGTGGTGGGCGCCTGTAGTCCCAGCTACTCAGGAGGCTGAGACAGGAGAATGGCGTGAACCCAGGAGGCGGAGCTTGCAGTGAGCTGAGATCCGGCCACTGCACTCCAGCCTGGGCGGCAGAGCGAGACTCCGTCTCAAAAAAAAAAAAAAAAAAGGAATTTTCACACTACATCGGAAGAATCAGGAGGAACTAGCTGAGCAAGAAGGCTCAGGGTTGGGATCCTCAGGCAGCAGGTAGCACTCATACAAAGGTTTTAAATTAGGTGGAATTAGGTTTGGTTGCCTTGGGGAAATGAAAAGATTATATGGCAGGAGTGGGGATCTCAAACTCCTGACCTCGAGTTAGGGACCAGCCTGACCAACATGGTGAAACTCCGTCTCTACTAAAAATACAAAAATTAGCCGTGCATGGTGGTGGGCCCCACAATCCCAGCTGTTCAGGAGGCTGAGGCAGGAGAATCGCTGGAACCCGGGAGGCGGAGGTTGCAGTGAGCCAAGATCGCACCATTGCACTCCAGCCTGAGAGACAGAGCAAGACTCCCTCTCAAAACAAACACCTGATCTCAAGTGATCCATCCACCTCAGCCCACCCAAAGTGCTGGGATTTCTAATTTAAATGATAATAACCCTTCCCAGAACTAAGCTGCTTTTGTGAAGCTAATGAAAGGCCATTAGGTTAGGAGGATGAGAGGAACCTGCGTTCTGTGAAGGTCTAGAGGAAGAGTAATACAAAAATTAGCCCTGCGTGGTAGCTCACACCTGTAATCCCAGGTACTAGGGAGGCTGAGGCAGAACTGCTTGAACCCAGGGGATTGCAGTGAGCTGAAATCACGCCACTGCACTCCAGCCTGGATGACACAGCGAGACTTGGTCTCAAAAAATAAATAAATAAATAAGAATAAAAATTAGAGGTAGAGGTGGGCATAGTGGCTCGTGCCTGTAATCCCAGCACTTTGGGAGACCAAGGCGGGCGGATCACGGGGTCAGGAGTCTCAAACTCCTGACCACCGACATGGTGAAACTCCTTCTCTACTAAAAATACAAAAATTAGCTGGGCGTGTTGGCTCACACCTGTAATCCCAACTACTCAGAAGGCTGAGGCAGGGCCGGGCGCGGTGGCGCAAGCCTGTAATCCCAGCACTTTGGGAGGCCGAGACGGGCGGATCATGAGGTCAGGAGATCGAGACCATCCTGGCTAACACGGTGAAACCCCGTCTCTACTAAAAAATACAAAAAAAACTAGCTGGGCGAGGTGGTGGGCGCCTGTAGTCCCAGCTACTCAGGAGGCTGAGACAGGAGAATGGCGTGAACCCAGGAGGCGGAGCTTGCAGTGAGCTGAGATCCGGCCACTGCACTCCAGCCTGGGCGACAGAGTGAGACTCCGTCTCAAAAAAAAAAAAAAAAAAGAAAAAAAGAAGGCTGAGGCAGGAGAATCGCTTGAACCCGGGAGGCGGAGGTTGCTGGTGTGCCGAGATCTGCCATTGCACTCCAGCCTGGGTAACAAGAGTGAAACTCCGTCTAAAAAAAAAAAAAAAAAGCCGGAAGTGGTGGTGCACGCCTGTGGTCTCAGCTTCTTGAGAGACTGAGCCAGGAGAATTGTTTTTTGGTTTTTGGGTTTTTTTTTGGTGGGGGGAAGGGGACGGACTCTTGCTCACTGAAAGCTCCGCCTCCCGGGTTCACGCCATTCTCCTGCCTCAGCCTCCTGAGTAGCTGGTACTGCACTCGCCTACCACCATGCCCGGCTAATTTTTTTTTTTTTTTTTTTTTTTTTGTATTTTTGGTAGAGATGGGGTTTCACTGTGTTAGCCAGGATAGTCTCGATCTTCTGACCTTGTGATCCACCCACTTCGGCCTCCGAAAGTGTTGGGATTACAGGTGTGAGCCACCGCACCCAGCCAGGAGAATTGTTTTAACCTGGGAGGTGGAGGTTGCAGTGAGCCACGATGTCACCACGGCACCTCAGCCTGGGCAACAGAGTGAGACTCCATATCAAAAAAAAAAAAAAAACAAAAAACAGTATATAGAATAATTACCCTATTATAGCATTTATTTCATGAGCATTGTTTTAAGTTTTAACTCCTTTGAGGCCTTATAATCCCAGAAGGTATGTACAATTGTTAGTCACCTTACAGATAAGGAAACTAGGTCTATGGACACAGGGCTTATCAGTGTGAAATCAGGCTGTGACAGCAATCATATAGGGTGGTTGCAGGAGATTAGAAAATTCCAGGCAGCAGTTTCACATGACCAGAATAGCAACAGCAAACTTGAAATAGCTACAGTAACTGTGGGTTGATAAGATTCCAAAAAACCAGGCTGTAGGCCAAGTAGACTAAGACCGACTAGACCTAATATGGTGCTGGGTCTGACCTCGGTTTCCCGTAGGACCTCATTGTTATGTTCATTAACACAGTCACACACCCACCAACATCATGATAGTACTAGGAACACCCATATTTGGTATAAAGATGGGTGGCACCTCAGTTCTAAGAAATCTCCATCTTTTTCCAGGAATGCTCATGAGTTTTACCCCTTGGTTAAAAAAATCCAAAAACGGCCAGCGTCATGGCTCATGCCTGTAATCCCAGCACTTTGGGAGGCCA